CGACTAAGAAGGTAGCCATCGTGGCTGACCGTGCCCTTTAGAGCTGTTTTCCCTTGCTTACATTTGTAGCCACGATTTCTCTACCCGCACCAGGTGCTGGGACTTCCACACTACTCTGAAGAGTTCGTGCAGATTGTGCTCTGTCTAGATATGTCTCCTGGTATTGTGGCAGAGACGGCATCAGTTGGAATTGATTTATTTTTATTGCACTTGTCGAGATTCAGGGTGAATGGACACCTAGGCCCCTTTTCCCTTAGAGAAGAGTGTCGTCCGTAACTGGGATACCCAGCTGCAAGACTATCATCAGCGTTTTCTTTACAGTTTGATAAGCTACGGAAGCTTGACTACATTAATATCGAGACGCTCCAGCCTATTATAACCACACTTATTTAATTATGTTGCAGGTAGTTTCGATTCCATGTCGACGCTACCTAGCGGATTTTACTGAAATAAAGTTAAAAGCTGGCGTATTTTTGCGAGACTTTAAGCTCATTTATTGCTATTGTTATTAAAATTTTTTAAGATAAAAACTGGACTTAAACCATCTACGAAGTATCATAAATCAGTGTGCAAAATTTCAGCACAATTGGTTCAGTAGTTTTCACGGTTAGCGGTTACACTGGTTTCAGCGACTTTGCTTTATATATTAGTAAGATTTTAAAACAATGCATAATTTCCTTGAATCTACTTTCTTATTTCGAATTAAACACTCACAAACAAAGTCTCTTATTTTTTAATATTTTTAATTATTCAGGTATAACGTAAGAAAATAATTTACTAACTAATATTACTTATCGAACANAATTAAAATATTTTTTATTTATTAAATACTATTTTTGTGTTATGTAACTTAAGTCTTTTTTGAATAATTACTAAGGGCATTTGAAAGTATTAAACAAAAGTATAGAACTTCTGTTTCGTCGATCTCTATGTATTGTAAACGTTGAGATCTGTATATTTTGGTTTATGATAGATGCAAAACTGCAAACAAACTCGTACCCCAGTATTAATAATATAAACTGTTTTTTTCTTCTTTTTTGACTGCGAATTTAATGTTGTAATGAAGGCTGTTTAAATGTTTTACCAATATTGGCAATGGTATTTGTAAGCTTTTAGAAATATTTAAATAACTATCTTAATATCCGTATCAGCGTACTAGGTTGACTCTTGAATGATGATCCAATGTTTCACTATCGAACTTAGTTTTGAAATCTTGTACTCAAAGTAAGCTAAGTGGGTTGGCCATCTTTAATTTTTTTTTATGCTGCGATGTACTATTATTTGTTCTAAAATAGTTTAGGTTTAGGTAGCACAGTAAACTCTTCCTAGTGTCATTTATTATAAACACGTCAGCTTTTTTTTNTGAATTTTTAGATTATTTTAAAATCAAATACTTATAAATTTCATCACTAATCTTTAGTACCCTTTCGAGAAATTAGTTTTCTTTAAACCTTTTTTTCGAACAATTTGCTAACGCATTTCAAGCAACTTAAGGCAGAATCAACCAATAAATCATAGGAAAAAAGTAAAGACTTCCTCAGATTACGGGCATGTGGCACTTGAGATAAAGCCAAAATCACAGGTAGTAAAGACTGCTACGCATTTAGATACGTGAATTTTCTTATAATTTAATGTTTGCTCTCCGAGGCCACCTTTTAATAACTCTTTCGTTTGACTTTAATAGTTTTTGGGATCCAACATCTGATCGAAAAACACGTCCACTAAACGGCGTGCATCAATATAAAGGGTGGGAGGTGACGGTCAACAAATAAAGTAAAAATAGTTTGTTATCTTATTTAATACATCCATTTTATATTTATAATTTCATGCTTTTTTGTTTTCACTCTCTTTAATTATAGTTTAGAAATATTCGTCATTTAACATTATCTCAGTCCTCAAGAAAATTAACAAAACAATTTTTTTTGTTCCCTGGACGCTTTGGCGTGGGACGTAGTCAGCCATGGCAGCTGAGAAAAGTCTCTGCTACAATTTACTTTATCTTTACGTGTACTATTTATATCATAGAAAGTCTAAGTGGGTCATACAAAAAAGGTACATGAAGCTCTGGACGAGATAAATTATTATTATTAAAAAAACAGGAATTTTATGTAGGCGTTTATAAAATTGCTTTAAACAGTTAATGTCGGAAATAACATTGTTCGATCGAAGGATTTTTTTTCACTTTTAAAGATTCCTCTAACAAAATACACATATTTGAAAAGGTGAATCATGGAAATAATTCTCATTGTTATTTTATGTAGAAAAAGAAATTTTCCTACATCCTTTTCTGTGCCTGTAATGTATACCCTCGTTATTTGTTACGTGCTTCTAATGAAGTCCCAGAATTTATTTCACTTTCAGTATAAATTGAAACAGTAATAAAGTAAATAAGTGTTATCGTGACGCACATGTAAAACAAAAAGGCGTATTTCGCAGTCCGTACGACTAATTTGGTTCAGAGATTGAAAAAAAAGGCTATTGTACCAATTCTAAATCCTGGTTTAAAATANGACAGCTCAAGTACAGCCGCCACGACAACAATCGCAGGAACGGAAACACTCCAGAGGACGTGTCTCACGTCCTCCAAAACAAAAATTCGCTTCACGCGCGTTCGCTGGCCCAAGCTAATCTGATCCCTTTTCGGCTTTTTCTTCCCTTTCCATTCTTTCCTAACTGTCCTCTCCGTTTTTCCTTTTTCCTTCTTTCCCTATCGGTCCTAGCCTACCGATCATGGCTCGACGGTATCTCACCGTCACAATATATATATACCAGCGCCTTTCACCTAATGATTTGGGATTCGGGGCACTTACTAGCCACTCTATAGATGAATGAAATGTTAATTAATAACCTTAGGGCCTATCACCAAGTGATTTAGGGCGCTTACAGGACACAGGAAAAAATAATAAAATGTTAACTTATAACAAAAGCTTCTATCACCCAATAACCCAGAGCGCTAATTGGCCACTCTATTGGTTAATAAAATTTAAATAATGACCTAAGGGCCTGTCACCCAGTGACCCGAGGCTCTTACTGGACACATTAAGAAATAATAAAATGTTAACTCATAACACTAATACCTATCACCCAGCGACCTTGGGCACTTACTGGCCACTCTATAAAATAATAAAATGTTAATTGATAACCCAAGGGCCTATCAGTCGGTAACCCGGAACGCTTACTGATCACACTATAAATTGATAAAATGTTGATTAATAACTCAAAGGCCTCTTACCAACTGACCCGGTTCTCTAAGTGGACACTAAAATAACTAAGAAAATCTTAAATTATACAAGTGCCTATGACCCAATAACTTAGGATGCTTACTTACAACTCTAATAAATAGTGAGATTCTGAATAATAATACAAGCATCTATTGGCCAGTAACCCAAGGCGTTTACTGGCCGTACTATTAAATAATAAATCTTTAACTATTAACAAGAGCGTCTCTATTACCATATATCCTTGTCAAATTTTACAGTTAATTAAAATAATCAATTGACGACACCGCAACCCTATTAAATAGAAGATTTTAGACTCTCCATTTCTATGTATTAGTCCAAAGAAAACGTGTTGTAAGGGATGTACCATAAAATTGTTTTAGTGTTACTAGGGTCTAATAATTAAAGAACGATAAATTTTGAAATCTCTTGAAAATTTTTTAATCGTTATTATACGTTGCATCTTAAGTCATTGCATTTCTAATAAATATTATTATTAATAAATAATTGACTATAACCTTTAAAAATATCTCTCTTTGTAATAAACCAATGTAATATACAATAAACTAATGTTCATACTCATGTCTCATACTGCTTCAACACAGATTGATCAGCTCTGTGCAAGATTTGTCTTGCGTGCCCATGCCCTCCCCACCCCCTCTTTCTGCTCAAAGAAGAGAAAGCTGCTGCTCGCTTGGTCTCTGCCAGCGCAAGCGTACTGATTTTTTGAGTGGAGCCAACGTGTGTGCACGCCTCGACCTCCTGCTTCGCTGGGGACTCTCGAACCGGACCTCCACGTCGATCTGCCTATTCTAAAATATCTGTTACGGCTGATCTGCCGATCTTGTATTTACTCGACGTCCTAATAAAAAGTAATGTAAACAAGCACTGCTCAGCTGTTTGAATCAAGTAAAAATGTCAATCTTTTGATTAAAATTATTAAAAAACCATACTGCTGAAAATACATTTTTTCAATTATTTAATGCATAATATTACTTTAAGTAATCTGTTGGTTGTTAGTGAATATTCATCGTTTTTTGTCTCAATATTCAGTGTTTACTGTGCTCTTAAAATCACTTTATCTATGACACGTGTGGTAAAACTATAAGCTTTAAAAGATAATATTTTCGCCACGGCATTGCTTGACCATTTGAAATTTTAACAATCGATGAAAAATAGCTGGACAAATTTATGCTTAAATTTTTAAAAAATTATGTGATTTCTTGATTTTATCAACTACTACCTTTAGAGAAATTTTCTTGTCAACAATAATAACAAAAAGTTATTGATTAAAAAAAGAAAAAAAATATTGAAAAATATTAAGATGCTTTAATTACTGCAGGTATCAAAATACGATGTAGAAACTGTTAGTAATACCAACTAATCCAACGTCTACACCATAATTCAACCTGTCACAAGTATTACAATTTCTAAATCTATCTGGTAAACCGGTTGTGAACTTAAGTTTTATTCCATATCATCATTATTAAATGTATTTGTGTTGAAAACAAATTTGTATAATTTGTTGCGTAAAATCACTAAAAAATATTTTCTGCTCCAGGTTTGCAACGAAAAAGTGGTTTTCTACACAACTGCTCTTATTAAGAAACAAACTTTTTACGAATCCCCCTGTAAACTCTTAGCATTTCCACTTGGTACATCTAGGAAAGTGGTTTTCACTTAAAAAAAAGGAGATCAGCTCCTTAAATTTTTGAACCATCATTTAGTATCTTCAAATAAAAATTTATTAATGAGAAGTCATAACAATGTCTTTTTTNAAAGATGGTAATTTACCAACAAATCTGAAAGAAGCTTCACATCAGGTAACTATTTTATAGATTCTTTTGTCTTGTAATTTAAAAAAAAATATCAAACAGTACATTGTCTGTAATACTCGTGTATAAAAAGTTTTTTACTACTGTATAATTTCAAAAGTTTTAGTTATTTTGCATCGTAGATAAATTTGTGTTACTGACAAAACTTTTTAGCCCAGTCCTGCTGTAAAAAAGTTAGGTTTCAGCTTTCTGTAGTCAAGTTTAATGCTAGAGTTACCCTGGAGTAATATTAGGAAAATAAAAGTTTTGTGTGAAAAATCCGTAGGAACTGAGAAACTGCAAAATTTCCCACAAATGCCATGTTTTTTGACACATTTTGACGAAAATCTATTTGGAACTTGTAGGTAAAATATTGCATGGGATGTTTTTTTATCGTTCAATTAGCTTAAAAATAAAATTCATAAAAATTAAAAAAAACTTTATTTTTTATGCTAAAATAAAATAAAACTGCAAAAAAATACTTTATGCTTTAACGTTCTCAAAAAAATAAAAGATGTTCTTTGTTTTTAAAATAAATGAGAGAATCAGTAACCCATGGTACGTTCAACTTCGACAGTAAAAAACTACTATAATTTATTATGCAACTAACAAATTGAAAAAATTAAATTTAACGTTACGGCTTTAATATATCTCCATGATCCCGATTTCTTTTCATAAGTCATATAACCTGTGTAGTATTTTAATCCGATATAAATCAATTATTTTATTCTTAAATATTTCTTTAATTTTTTTAAATTAATGGCTTAGTTGCAAACT